AGGAGCCAAAGGGACCAGATTTTTTCAGATTATCTGTCAGGAACTACTGTCAGGATATAGTGAAAGTTTCAGCAAATATGACAAAAAGATATTTTTATAAAAGTTACCAACTGCAGCTTTAAGTTACTCGTTGAGGGTTCAGTGACGTCGAGCCTGCAGAGCAACTGACAGCCGACTGCGATGATGATTGAACTGCTGAGCTCAGCTGCTGCTCGACAAATTAGTCTGAATCTGACCCCCGAGAGAGCGCACACACACACACACACACACACACAGCAACACAGACAGACTGAAACACACAGCGACACAGACGTGTGTGTGCTGCCCTCTGCTGTCTCATCAGTGACACTGCAGGTCTTGAATCATTGACACAATCTCTGTTTTGATTGTTGGATGATTCTCCACCACCGCAGCCAATACTGCTCTCTGATTGGTCGGATGTTGATGGTTAAATGTTAAAATCACTCATGTTCCAGCCAACACTGCAGGTTATCATAGCAACAATATTTATGTTTTATACTATATTCATGGTTTAAATTGTTTCACCTTCATTTTGTTTTCTGTGACAAGTGTGTGTCTTTCAGAGTTCTTTCAGACTCTTGTATAAATATATACTTTTCATATTATTAATCAGGCCTGTCATAATATCTACTTTTAAATGTTGCTTATTTTTGCTTTTTTCTTACATAAGACAACAGCTTACGAGGTCGAGAGAATTCGACTCCTTCAATCCTCGACATAAACCACAGTTTGTCCAACGCAAGAAACCATAAAAAACATGTTTTAAATTTGAAATGCATGAATATCAGATTCTTAAATGTCTTAGTGTAATTATAGTTATTAGAATATTACATTTGTGGGCTAAAGAAACACTGTTGCTCCACTGATCCTTATTAAAACTATAAAAACCTTTGGATGATATTTTACTAACAAAAATAAGAGCATCTAATCATATATTGCTTCTTAAATTAAGTATGATAATGCAAGTGCACCTTAGAGCGAGTAACTTTTAATTAAGAATATTCAGACATTGGAATTGAAAAAAATATTAAAATATCCTAAATAAAAGTCTTATAATGGCACCCTGTAGTTTATTCTGACAAACAGGCAATTATCGAGGTCATGTCGTATATCGCACAGTAAGAAAATGACGTTATTGTCCAGAGAGAAAGAAAGAAATACCTCAAGTTGTTTGTCCATATTTTATTAGTATCATACACAAGCATGTTTCTATTAAAACACATTATATATTAACTGAATCAAACAATAATGTACAAACAGATTAGACTGACGGACCGCCTCAGCGTGTTCGGCCTGCACATACAAACACTTTGTTCACCAACATTACAGAATCATCAACAAAACCACAGAAGTCCAGTCAGAACCAGTTCGTCAGATCCACTTCAAACTCATCTCCAGATTTAAGGTTCAATTTGTTTTTGTTTTTTAACTTAATTTTGGTCATTCGGTTGTTTGACAACTGTAGCTGGATCATTTTTACGACTTGTTCTTGTTTAAAATGAACACAATCATTCAAAAGATAATCTAATAATACATCACGAGATAACCTTTCACAGTACAGTTTTTTGTTCACCGATCAATGACACCGGTGGTTCTGTCTGGATTTTCTCATGTTTTGGTGCTGACTCCGTAGAAATCTCCTGTCCAGTTTCAGTTTGTACATGCAGGATTACAGGACGTTACTAGATTATTTGCCATACAAATTCTGGTCACACTTCACATAACAATGACCGTATTCCAGCGTATATGTGAGAAAAGTCCTGTAAGCACACTGTCATGATGTGATCCTCCTCCTGTGGATTCTTCTGTTTTATTGCACTGTTTTAGTACATCTCATGTTGTGTAACTCGCATTACTTTTCTGTAGGTTAATACTCAAGTCGACACACTGGATTAAGGCCATTTTATGGTAAAGTTGCACCAAAATAACCATTTACTTTATCGGGTCCCACAGATATACAATCCCTGCCCTCAGCATGCAAACAGAAGAGACCAAAGCCGATCAGAACAGAGCTGCAGGGGAGATTTCAAGGTTCACACGTTTGACCTGATAAGAAAGGACAGAAAATACCCACAGCTGTCGTCTGAAGGCGTCTTCCTGCTTTAATTCACACCTGGCAGGCTGCTAAACTAGCAGCTGCTGGATCTCAGAGTTTACCAGAACACAAGAGACAACACATTTCAGCTGGTCAGGTATAATCTGTCCCCTTGTGATACCAATTATTGTTCTTTTTCTGTATTTAAATAACTAAGAAAAGTAACAACTGTTTGACTCCAAAGGTACTTCTAGTGTTAACAGGGTTTTTTTTTTTTAAAACTGCATTTTGAAAATCGCAGGGTGGTGTTTCAAACAAAGTGCTTGTCGGCTCCCAGACGAATGCCTGAAATCTGCTGCCGACAATTTGTGCAACCTTTCAAAACCATTAATGATGTCAACTTTACGCAGCAACCGGCCAATTGTGTTAAACTCAGTTTTACCGTTTTCAGAGTGCAACACCAGTTGTGTTTCCATCCAAATGTTTTTCAAGTAATTTGGCAAAAGAAAATTTGACTGAATGCTTGTTTCCATCCACTACTGTTATGCGATTAAGAGTTGGTTGAGGAGATAAGCAGTCGGTGGCGCCAATTCTCCAGTTGGAAAAAGCAAATCAGTCATGCGAGTTAAATGTTAGCTACGTCAGACTGGAAAAAGTGTTTCCATCTCCCATTAAGATCATTAACTCTTCCGTAGTGGATCACTTTTCTCTTTTCAGGCCTTTAAACGTGTTTGAAGAATTCGTTATCAAACCGACTTTGTTCGAAGCACAATGAACCTTTCGTCCACTGAATCAAACTCCTGTGATTTCCTGTTAACTCTCTGCTGGATGATAAATTGAGACTTTGAAACTCCCTCTGCGATCTCGTCTGTCTGACCGCGTCAATAACTAATAATCACTGTGCTGGCTGATCAACAGATCAATAAATTTCGAGTGGACCAGAACAAATCAGACAACAACTCTTCGCTGGTTCAGAAAACACCAGAGCCTGAATCCCAGAGAAGCTTAGGAACAAACTGAGCCACCGGAAGCCTGAAGGAGATTCAGTTTTTCTTGGAATTAAACAATTTCATTCAAACATTCGACTGTTGTGCTTGTTGTTGTCTGGTGTTTAATCAGGGGAGTACTCGACCTTCCAGTGATCCAGTTTATTACAACAGCTCCTTCAGATCCACAGCTCTGGGTAGTTATTAAGAAATTTGCGGCTTTCCACTGTCGGGCCGAAGATTTGGTCTGTTTGAAGATTACAGGTGTTTGGCTCTGTTGTGGAAATTACTACATCAAGAAAAACAAAAGGACTTTCTTAGTTAAGAACTAAGATCTATCTCCTGTTGGAACTTTGACCTCACATTGTTCAGAGTTGGACCTAGCATTGTAGTAGGTTCCAACGAACAAGTTAAATTTGGAAGTCATAACCCACAAGAACACAAGTCTATAACTGGGACAGCATTCTTGCTGACTTTACCAGATCAGCTGTGCTCAGGTGGCTCACTTAAACACACCTGTACTGCGCTACATCTCCAAAGAGATCCTTACATTTGCAAATTAGGCATTATTTTGATAATTCAACCAAACTGAATCCAAGCTGTTAATCTGTTGCTAGATTTGGTCAGTTACAGTTGTAATACAAGATGCAGATTGAGAAAGTCTCAGTCTGTCTAAATCTTAAATCTAAAACCAGACAGACCCTGTTTGGCCCGACAGCGTAAAGCAGGCGAGTGTGCGCGAGTAGAATGCATCACCCACATAAGCTGCTGACAGTTTGACCACTCTTTAACAAAACGACCTTAGTACAGAACAACATACAGACAGGTAATATTCCTTCCTTCTCTTTGTTCTGATTGGCTGCTGTCAGGACCAGGATGTGTCAGAAATGTGAAATGCACCAATAGAAGGACAGAGCTGACTAAGATGCTGCAAATGAGACAAACACACAAAGTAGTGTGAAAATAGCGTGAGCATGTAAGTTTAATGCTAATGTGTGTACGAAGCTACATGCTAAAGTTTTGTGAAACTTTTGATGAAAACCTTCTAATGTAGTTTTCACTGAAGTTTCTCTTAAAGTTTCCTAATTACATAATAGATTACAATTGATCTGACAAGCGGGATTATTTTCCAGTCAAAACTATCAAAACATTCTTTTAGTACTTGCTGTTTAGCTATCGTCAATGCCGTTTATTTAGGAACTAAACTGGATCACTTAACTAGCGAGCTAAAAGTTGAAATGCTTGAAAAACTGCTACCATTCATACCAAAAAAAAACAACCCAAAAACATATTCCTTCACATTCACCAAAAGCTGGTGCTAAACTTCGACCAGCTGTATGAGCACCAACTGATTATATGACAGATAAATATAAAGTAGATTTCCTTTAGCATCATTCAGAGTCAGCGCAGTCCGAACCCTGGTCTTAAACCACACTCCTATCATCATATATACCATAAATAAAAACGGTAAACACTGTTTTGTGTGGAAGTCTATGGCTGCCAACATTACAATGGAGTCATTTGCATTCATGTGCACATCTAATTGTCATTTTCATGTTTGAAAATTCATTATTACCGCCATTTAATAATAATCCGTCTACTTAACAAAGGCATAATAATAACAACATTAAAAGTGAAGGTGTCAGACTGTGCAACTTTTTATGTCCTGATATCAAGATAATTTCTGATGAAAATAAAATTTCAGCTGGATTCTCCCGGGTCTTTTTTTCTGAAATTGCAGACTATGAAAATGACCATGAAGAAAGCCATTTACATTTAATTTCCATTAGAAACTAGCTAATTTAAAAGTTCAGTCTAGAGTACACAAAAATATTTCACTTTGATAGTAATTGTGTATTTTCTAACACTAAAATTACAATTTAATTTAAAGATTTTAATTCTGTTACACATTAAAACTTTTTCTTCAACATTGGCAGCCACAGACTTCCATAATTGCGTTGCATCTTGTGGCACTTAAAACCAGGATGTGGACATTTCTCAGAGCTTGTGAGGAAGGATGTTAAGTTTTGTACATCAAGTTTTGAATCCAAAATGTGTGTTGTTGTCACACCTGGTGTCATAAATGCATCAAAATAAATGGATGAAAACGTTAAAATCAATCGATTTTACAATAAACATTTAATATGTGGGAGTTTCAACGAATCAGACGTGACTAATTACATCGACATGATGTGAAGGTTGCATTTGATCACCCCTGGTCCGATCAGCAGACATCTCAGAGCAGAAAACACTGAACTCTGGCTCCAGAGTAGACTTATGAAGTCAAAAAACAACAATAAAAAATAACAACAATATAAAACAAATAAGAAATAAAAAGCTTATTACAGAAATATGAACAGAAACAATAACATTTCTCCTTCTCCCAGTAAAGTACCACTTCCTTAAATCTGGCCAGACCAGGTTATGTCACAATAAGAAGATTATTAACATTATTCTCATTATTAATATCTTACAAAACCAAAATCAACAGTGCAATAAAAAGGTTTTTAATCCCTCGCTCAGCAGGAGAGAGAGAGAGAGAGACGACGACGACGAGGGGCGGGGCGGGTCTTGGCGACAAGGAAAGAGAAAGAAGGGAACATCCAAAAATAAGAAAAAGAAGGAAAGATAGAGGGAATACAGAAGAGGACAAGCAGTTCACAACAGACGAGGGCGGAAGAGGGGCTTCTCAGGATTATATAAATGTGAAAGAATGGAGGCGTGAATGGATGGATGGAAGATGTGGAGGTAGAAAGGGAGAAACAGATGGAGGGAGGAAGGAAAATCAACAGAGGAGAAATGATGAAGGCAGATTTTTGGTGGTGAAGAAGGTGGCGGTCAGGGGGAGAGGAGGATTATGGGAAAGACTTGAGTGAGATCCACAAAACAGGCTCCAGATAACCGGCTAACAATGCTAATGACAAGAAAACTTTTTTTTTTTTTCTCCCTTAAAAGTGAATATGGCCGACAGTTTGGCTGCAGAGAGATGTTTGGCTGAGGCTCCCTACCAAATTAAAAGCACGGGTTATCACAGAGGCTGCTGTATGGATCTGTAAAGATGCACTGATATCACTTTTCTGTCGCCAGGATCAAACACTGACTGACTGCTGGGTTCATTTACTGAAAATTAAAAAAGTCACTTCACCCAAAATTACAAAATAAGAAGATTTTCTCTCTTAAAGTTTCTATTAATGCAGATGGTTTTGGTTTTATTACCTCCACCCAGAGACAGTGGAGGTCACTGACTTCACTGTGAGGAAATACCTTTCAGAAATGTTCCTGCTGTGTAATTTGAGTGAAATGCTCCGTTAACTACAGTATAGATTAATTCCTCAGACTTAACAAGGGTTGAGTGGCGGGAATTGAGATCCCGGTTTTTCCTGGGAATTCTCGACAAAATCTGCTCCAGTTTCCCGGAAAAATTACCTGTGTTAGCATGTGTGCACTTGTGTGCTGGTGTACCGAAGACTTTTTCTGTGTGCTACAACAAAGACGCCTTCTCCAAACCTCACGATGCTTCCAAAGAACTGAACTGAACCACGGAAGCAACGGTTGTCACTGCTGTTCATTCAACTTAGGAAAGGAAACTTTATTCGTTTAACACACAGAACTAATGAATATCAGGAAAAAGATCAGAAAATTTGAATTAACGTACATTTCTGGTTAACTGTGTGTTTAAAATCGCATTTCATTTAAGGTGAGAAATCCCAGAAAATGTGAACTATATTCCAGGAAAGTTTTAATTTTAAAATCACTGCTTCAACCGTAACGATGGAGGTTGAGTGTGTCCGTCGGGAGGAGGTGGATGTCACAGAGACTTTGGTCAGTACTTGAATAAAAACAAAACGGAGGTATGAGTGCATCCCGAGGTGTGATGGAGGTGTGTGGAGGTCAGGAGGTGTTAATATAAGGAAGGGAGAGATGGATGGAGGACAGGTGGGGGGGGTTAGGGAGTAAAGTTTTCAGGGGAGGGGTTTTGATCAAAGAGCGAGTGTGTGTTAGGACAGGTGGGCGTGGCCTGTTCTGTTTTCTGTTCTCAGGAACTCCTCTTAGTCCGGGAGTGTTGGATCAACCACTGAAGAGTGATGTCTGCAGAGAGAGACACATGTGACGTCAGCAGAGTGTGAAAGAAAAGTAAAGTGTGGTTTTAATCTTCTGGGCTCAAAGCAGGGATGGGACCTGAGAACCGGATCCAAATGATCTGACTGATGGCAGTCGTGTGCAGGCTCAACGTTAATGTTACAGGTTCCTGCTCAATAATGCTATCGTTAAAAGGCCAGAATAGAAACAGACGTTTGGTGCAGGGTCAGCGTCTGAACACACTATGGACAGACTGGCCCAGAGAACATGTACAGCCACAGGCACTGACGTAGGGGAGCTGACATAATGAAAACCTAAAATTCATACAAATGAATACAGAAAAGTGGTTTCACCTTGTTTTTTAAAATCTGTTTTATTCACTAGAAAGGTGTAAAATGTTGTCAATAACTATAAAATAGTCCATAAATGATCCTGACCATTCAAATCAATGCACAAACCAAGAATGGCAGGCATTTAGCATGACGTCATTATACAGACTCTCTCAGCAGCTTCAGCTCTGCCTGCCTTCCAGTGTCCAGTGTCATCGCTGTGATTCAATAGTGATCTGCAGCTTTTTGGAAAACCAATTTAAAATCGAAGGTATCTGGAGGGAATAATGGTACTGAGAGACAGTATTCTCCCAGCATGCAGCACTATGGGGACATCCAATAAACAGACGTTTTAATCCTTTGATTATATTTCTTCTGGGCCAAAACTATTTGAAATATATTTGAATATTACTGTTTTTATCTCTTTTAAAATCGTCATTATTGGCAGAAAGAAGAAAACATCAGTGATCCCAAACTTCAGAGCGGCAGTTTTATATTAACTGACATTTTATATTCTGTGAACTATACATCTAAAAAAATTATTATTTGGTAATTATTAAGTATTTCAAATGTGTACATTGTCTTGTTGATGATGAAAAAACAAGATCCTTAACTCCTTTAATCAAAGCCTGTTAACCTTAATGCATTTTATCTCATTTAGTATTTAAAATGTGTTCATTGTTTCATGATGAAGCTTTGATTTATCAAACGTATAACTCTTTAAAATGGCCGCTTTACCTGCTCAAGAATATGTGAAGTGATGTAGAAACAGCAGTAAAAATGGTCAG